GCCTGAGTTCTCTTATCCTAAAACTTAAGGCAAATTTTGCATTTTATCATGTCAGATGTTGATAAGAACATAGAAATCTTTTAAATTACTTTCAATTTTAGTTTCAAAAGCTATTTAGTTTTTGTATACCTCTGTGCATCAGGGGCCTGATTGGAGAAATACTTTGTTTTATTTGATAAGAACCAGAATGAACTCCAATGAGAATGTCATGGAGTCCAAGCTCTGATCAGAAGAAAAGTTTAGAAGCAAATAATGCTGGGGGCTATCATTAGAAATATGTTTAGTTCATGGAGAAAGCAGTAATCCCTGATTGTTGGGGAGGCCCAGGATGGAAAGTGGAAGGGTATTAACTAGTATTTCCTGAGATGCTGGGAATGAGCTCTGGGCCGAGTCTTGCCTGCTGATTACCTGGGAATGTGCCCTTTCCTAAATTGCTTTCTCTTCTCCCTTAGGGAGAGGACTTGCTCCAGACTTCTGTATAAATCTGATACTTGACCAGAATAAGATTGAAAAACCAATGGAATTGTTAATAAAGTATCTTAGAAGGCAGTGTTAACATTCCATTATGGAAATACTCTGGAAGAGTGTTCCTTTGGTTCTAAAGACCTGGGTGTGTTGGATTTGGGCACAGTGACGAGTTGTGGCAACTGGAATTTTGAGATTGTTTTTCCTATATCTTAGTCAAGAAATTTTAAGTATAGTTTCTCAACAAGTATTATGTTGAGGACTTGGGGGAAAAAAATCTTAAAGCTGGCAATTTCTTACATAAATAGTGAGGTTTACCTTTCAGTTTGTAAAAATTACTTACCCTGTACCAATTTAATAGAGGTTAAATTGATATGCATGTTAGGATGCATCCCATTGACTTCTTCAGTTTTTCCAAATTGCTCTTTTACCATGTTACTTTTTGCCTTTCATAGAGCTTGAGAGGAGCAAAAATTATTTATTTGCCAGAGAGTTTAAGATAAAGAAATGACAGTGGATAGGACTAATGAAAAATGAGGATTATATACCAGGAATAAACAGGTAACCATTGATTTACATTTTGTATACTGACACATTTCCTTGGTTGAGAAAGAGATTAAGTATAATTGAATGTGGTTTAATATGGTAATAGCAAAGAGTAATTAGTAGCAACAAGAAGAGGCTGCCCTTCCTTTTCTGGCTACACAGGGGCAAGTGGTTATGGATTATGACCATGAGTATTAGCTCATTACTAAAATATAGAAGGGAAGGCTTTTGGGCCAGTAGAGGTGAGCCACTCTAATGGCTAGAATGGCCATTTAACAATAAAAGGCAGTACAGTATCCTCCAGACTTTCTGACTTTCCTGTTCTTACCAATCAAGTGCTTTCACTTATTCTGCAAATTAAAAAGTCACATATGAAAGTTTAGTTTGTGCTGACTTGTTCCACACGTATTATTACTTTCCCTTTATAATCACAAGGGAAGAGATTGCTTTTTCTAGCAGATTTTGTTTCAATCAAAAGGTTTTAATCTGTTGCAAACCACCTCTAGTGGTTTTTCTTTGGATGTGAATATAAACCACTACAAATAGTAAATTTCATCCATCTATTAAAAATAACACTTATGTAACAACTGACTATAAGCACAACAATAAAAAGGATGTAAGTATTTATTTTATGTCAAACCTAGTTAGTGTGATCTTTACCCGGAGTCATTTATTTTTGGAACAATTGTTAGATTCTTGGATAATTCAACTGTTAGCCCCATTGGGATCTACAGTACAAATCTGCTCAAATGACTCTTGAGTTTAGACATCAAGAAACAGTGGATTTTAATTATAATTTCACAGCCTACCTCCATTCTCAGTTTTCCAATCACTTCACACCCTCAACCAAGTTTACATAACCAAACTATAAAAAAAATACTAGAATTGTCATTATATTCACAAATACCCAAACTGTAATGTAATTATAGTTTACTGACAATTTTGATATTTTAGTACAATAATAACTTAGTATTGGCTAGGGCATGGATGCCAAAGCTAGTTATTCTGTGAAAGGCTGGTTACTTGGCCTTTTGCAGGTATAGTTTAAATGAGGGCCACAGAATGGTACATACTTTATGTGGCTGTTGTGAGAATTAAATATATATAATATACATATATATATTTAATTATATATAAATGTATATAATGTATATATGTACATACATGTGTATAATAAATATATATTATACACATACATTTATATGTGTATATGTATAATTAGACCAATACTCAGTTTACAGGGAGTGTGAAGTGTTTGTTAATATTCTCTTTCAAAGGAAATGAGTCCCTCCCTGGTATACCACCAAGTCTCCTTTCGTACTATGCCACATGCCATCCTCCTCCTCCAAGAAGAGTGTGACATCACTCTTATCTATGGTAAAACTGAAATAGAAAAGAATCCAGGCATCTTAGCTCACTGTGCTAAGGAAGGGTTCACCTAAGGGACTATCATGGTTCCTGGAGATGGGATTTGAATTTTTTCTTCCATCTATTCAGCCAAGTGGATCATAATGTTCTAGACAACTAACTGGCTCCAAGTGGTTGGTTTAATTTCTTGGTGTTTGGCGACCTGTGGAAGCTGATGCAAAAAAAGTTATCAGCACTCCCAAAGGGCCTCTAAGTCAATATTTTGATGAGCTTTTCTGCTTCCACATTTTAAACTAAGTAAAATCAAAGACAATATCTCTTTTTTTTTTTCTGATAGTACTTCAGGAAATTAAAGTGCTTTGAAAATATTTACTGTGACTATCACATGTTTCCAAAGATGCAAAATCATAAGGTCATAGTATCTAAACATTTATAATAAAAATGTCCTTGTTATTCTTTGTATGACTATCATAGCTCCTTAAAATATAAGATAGCTATCATCCAATTTGGGATAAGGAAATAATGCAGTTTATATTAAAAAGATTTAATGTGTTAATGTTGTGTAAAGGTACTGCAAATCAGAAATGTTTTTATTAGTCAATTTCCTTATCCAGAGGTTACAAATAAGGCCATTAAACATGATATTCTTGATTTTATTTTAAGATGAACCATCGTTTCTAAAAACATTGAACTATTAAACTGAAAAAAAAAATAACACTAGAACACTCCTCTCCCCCTTTTAACACTATACAGGGCTTTTAAATAAATCAAGGCACTTTGTACCTACATACATAACCCACAGAGTTTTGGACTTGCTTTGTCTGGATGTGAATTCTGTGATGAAAGAAGCTGTCCTGTGAACACATCACTAGAATTGGGACATGTAATGACTTGCTGGCCAGCATGCAGGCACCCTTTACTAGTGCATAACACCTTGGTTTTCCTCTATGAATTCACCCCTTCTGTTTTCAAGCTATGTCATTTTAGTTTGCATGAAACCCACTGCTACTTCCAGGCAAGGGCCATCAGACAGATCCATGTACCTATTGCCTACCTCCATCCCCCCAGTGGTCATTATAATTGGCTCTCAGATGGGCACATTTAACCAATAAGGGCCAACAACGTTCGACCTTTGCTGGGGCTTCTAGGAAAGAAAAATTTCTGTTCTCTTCCAAGTGAGATTACTTTTAGAAAAGAACCTCTGCCTTTCCTTAGAATGAGACCTCTCTCCTTAGAACAAGTATTGGGAAAATGTGAGCATCCCTGTTGCTAAGAAAAGCAGAGAACCTGGAGCTGCTATGGGTGGGAGGGGAGGGCTTGGTGGTTACCACACATTGTGGCATCTGAAGTCAGCCTCAGTGATGGAGAGACCTGAGCCTCAGTGTGAGTTTATGGATCAAGCTTCACCTAAACCTGTTAAAAATCTGAAGTTTTCCTTTAATATTTAAACCAGTCTGGGTTGTTTTCTGTTACTCAAAATAGAGTCATAACTAAGGCAAGCAAAATAGCCTAGACAAGATAAGAACCTTTGCCCTCAGAATGGTGTTCCTAAGGGCACAGTGGTGCTGTAACCACCAACTGGGAGTGGGAAGGAAGTGGGCCAACACCAGGCTGTCAGCCAGTAAGAGAAGAGAAACTCGAGGATGACTTCATGGAAGTGCCAAGGATGAGAAGGAAAAGAAGAACCCAAAGATGCAGCTGTTCTTGCTTAGCACATAGAGGAGAGCCTGAGTTAGCATCAGGTTTTTAGAGTAATGGCTGGGTAATCAGGTATTCATATTATGAAAAGTTTTCTAGTTAAAAGAAGAATTGGTAGTTATTAAACATTATAGTCTTCCTCTTCTTTTGGTGGGGGGGTGGTGGGAGGGTACCGGGATGAACCCAGATGTGCTTAACCACTGAGCCATATCTACAGCCCATTTCATTTTTTGTTTTGAGACAGGGTCTCCTTAAGTTTCTCAGAGCTTCACTAAGTTGCTGACTGAGACTGGCTTGAATTCACAATCCCCCTGCCTCAGCCTCTCAAGTTGCTGGGATTGTAAGCATGTACCACCATGCCTGGTACATGTTCAGCCTTGATTTTAATACTAGAACTCAGACATTTTCCATGAGCGTTCTCTTTTTCATAAATAATTGCTCTGCCTTGGTAAATGAAATTAAAAGGAAATAGAATGAAAACTCTGGGTCAGGGAAACATTTCTTTATCTTATTCAAAGGGAAGAGAATATTCTTTCTTTATCCATTCTGAACTTAGAAAACTTTTTTCTATATAATACTGAAATATTTAACAATGCATAAAACCATAAGCATTTATATTAAAATACAACTTTAAATACATCCCTGTAATTTTCACCAGGAACTTTGTAAAATATAATGAAAATACATGCATGGATATTAAATCAAGAAAGACCACTCAAAAATTCAAATGGAAATGCAGCATTACATACAATATAATAAATATCCAGGATATCAAATCTGCAAATTGATCATTACTCTGACTTAGATTCTTTTATCGATTAAGACTTGCTATATAATTTATTATAATAACCTTACAAGTTAAACATAACTAATGTGAAAAGAGAATTCCATTAATCTGACTACTGAAATAACACAATTCCCAATATTTTGCAACATATTTTAATCTATAACGTATAAAACTGTCATTTTGGCAAGAAATACACATCCATATAACTAATTGCTCAATTACCTTCTTTTTCAATGTTAAAAATAATCAGAAATAATAGTATGAAAAGAAACAGAGGCTAATCTTAATTCTGGGTTAATCTTATTGCCTCAGCTCTTAGGCTTTGGCAATAAATGTCTTACATTTTAATATGTCATATAACTTAAATACCATATTTACAAAATATAAAACTCTGTTAGCAAAATACTATACAAAATACTGACTTTACACATTTAAAGGGTGCTTTTTATTGTAATATATGAGAGCCCTTTATATTTTTACTATGCTGTATTCCTACCTGTTTTCAGATTCTCCCTCTCCCAGGATCTCTGTGGCGAGTTGTTAACAGAGGAAACTGGTCTATAATAAAATTATGACTCTCAAGATCAAAGATTGTCGTATACCATATAGAGGTTTTTCTAAACAAATTCTCCTGGTTAAAAGGCACTTAAAATCCAATTAATACATTTTACTTTTTTACAGTTTGACTCTTTTTCACTAAATGTTTCCAAGGAACACTTTTTAGGGATATTGTGTTACTTAGAAGATTTTTTTTCTATTGCCCTTCTTTTGAAGTACATGAAAGGGTCAGTAGGCACCAACCACTCAGTTTAACTTTTCAACGTCTGTCTATGCACAAACACTTAGAAACATTTCTTCAATTAAAATACTGAGAATAAATGAGATTCATGTTTACCACTCCTGGTTGCCATAGAGATGTCTGTAAAAAAAAAAAAAAAAAAAAAAAAAGACTGCTGTTCACCCACCATTACTGATTTCCATAATGAGTTCCATGGTTGAGGATCTTTTCCTGAGTATGGACCAGGTCTCCAGTGTGAGGGTTCTTTCTTGCTGAGGAAACAGATTTATCTTCCTTGTATGTCAATATACATCCTCCAAACCACTCACAGATGAATGCAAACCTTCTCAACTTCAAAATCCCAAGAAATCCATGATCAATGTGTAATTGGATGTCAGTCAGGTAAAGGAAATCTCAGAGGGGCTCAAGGATCTGGGAGTGCAGGAGTCACCTTGGCCAGCACTGTACCAGGAGAGGTACCCTTTGGCTGCAACCCCATTGTTTGTTGCTGAGTCTTGCAGGCGGCTGGAGAGAGCAGTTACTTACAAGTGTGGACGTCAGTCATGCTCTCACACCTTCTGCAGCGGACATAACAGCACCAGATGAATTTACACTCACATCTCTCCACGTGCCTGACCACATGGGTGTTGTAGCCTCGGCCACAGCACAGGAGGTTGCAGCCATCAGCACCCTCTGATGTACGGTTGCATTCTCTGCCTTGTGTCCCTGGGATTCCCAGCTTTTTATCTTCCACGCAGTAGTTGGGAGACTTATTAACATAGAGCAGGTCATCCTTACGGATTGGTATTTTCCTCTGATCTTTTTCTCTCCTGCGCATTTTCCTCTTTATTTTGTCTGATACCTGGATACTGTTTTCATATTTATCCTTTAACCAATGGCCAATCTTTTCAAAAGAAGACATGGTTTTCCAGCATGTTTTCACAGCACAGGAACCAGAGACTCCATGGCAGCGGCAGTCGACTGACATCAACTTGGCGACCGCCTGAAACCAACAGTAATTGTGTTTAAATGTCAGAAACACAGCTAACTGAATTACTTAACTTTCTGGGTCTGTTTCCTCCTATTAAACAAAAAAAATGACAGCTTTGAAACTAAAGGATATTTAACGATTGTTTAGGGTTCAAATGTTTTTAGTTTTGTCCAAATATCTCAATCTTGCAGAGCAAATCCAAGTTGCATTTAAAGTAGTTGTAGGCCAGACTATTGTTGTCAGAGATTATCGGAGATACCAAAGGAAAATTATTTTTATTACTAATCCCTTACTCAAATTTGTGGGAGGATGCTCATGAATTGCCTGCATGTTCTTGGTACCAGTGAATACATTGCTATTCACAGTGTGATTCATGACCAGCAGCCCCAGCATGCCACATGAGAAATTCAAGCCTTACTCCAGAACTACAGAATCAAAAGCTCCAATTTAATAAGACCCCATATGATTCTTATGCACATTTAAGTTTGAGAAGCACCGATAAAGCAGATGCCCTCAACTTGCACAGTACATTAATGGGGACTGTACAAATAAACCTTGCTCAAACCCTTGAGATTATGACTTAATTGGTTGGCACAAGCTGCTCAAATGATGCTAACTGCAGCCAGTGATGACATCTATTGTTCCAGTTGAAAGTCTTAGGTTTGACCACTATAAAAGTTAGATATGTTAATGTAGGGTAGGGTGGGGAAGGAATAGGGAGAATCCCCTGGTCACAGGACACATGAGAAACCTTGACTAATCAAGTTAAGTTGGTCAAAAAGAGAATGAGCTATAGAGTATGGATGCTTCCAGCAAACACTTCCTCTTTTCTGGAAAATTAATCCAAAACATATGTCCTATTCCTAGTGGATCAGTAGCACTATCCTAACAGCAAAAACAGAAAAAGGATAATGTTTTTGTAATTTTTCATTTCTAAGTGGGGAGTTTATGCAGAAATTCCACGTTATGGAGAGGAATTAAATGAGATGACATATAAATTTGTAATAACCCATGAGTCGGGTGCATATTAAGTTCTAAATGTCTCCTTTTTCTGAAGAACAAGTTACAGTAAGAGTTAAGATAAAAAGCTTCAATGGACCTAATAATGCAAAAACAATAAAAGATTTTAGAAATTTAGGACTCTAAACTCTTATATACCAGGCTCGCCAGCATAGCTTCCTTCAATCCCCAGATGATGGCAGAGCAGATTAATAAATCGTCAGCACTAGCTGTAGAGTTGACATTCTGTCAACATGCTGGGCAAAATGAAAAATGGATCCAGCCATTCAATTACTTGGAAATTATGTATGTAATTTCACCAAAGAAAGGGAAAAAAACGAGCACAGTTTAAATTCTGCTTGCAGTTCTTATCAAAACTATAAAATGACAAGGGTATACTTTGCTAGTTTGTATTAAACCCAATATTGACATATTTATGGAATTACATTTTCTAACACATTAGGAAAGTTTTCTGTACTATCTAGTGATGCAGAATATTCCAAACAACTAAGATTAATTTTCAGCTTTCAATGAAAGCATATGATATTGATTTGTACAATGTTTGTTACTTCTTAGTCGTGTTTAAAAATAATCAACAGAATAATATTTAAACTCTGTTCTTTATAAAATATGGCACATGTACACCTTTTGAATTCATGAAACTGAAAAACTAATTAATGTATCTATCTCTTAATAACCTAAGGCAAAATATGCCCTCCACTGATGTAAGAGAAATATATGAAATATGGCACACAGGCTTACTTGGTTTAATTTATGGCATTTGATATTCACAAAACCCTCAATTCATTAAGACACCACTAGGCAAAGAAATGATCAAATTAATGTGATCTGTCTGTCTTTGTCCAGATTTTAAGTGCCTGAAGGGTTTGAGAAAATGAGGTCAGTCAGTCTTAGGTAATAACAAATTATCCAAGAAAGGCAAAAACCTAAGAAAGTATGATTATGTGCTTAAGCCTGATCAACATTCCTTATAGTCCTCACTTAGTGATTTAAAGCTGGCTTTTCCTATGGATCATGACTGGAGGAGCTGACTTGTCCTATTATTAACTGGTTCAGACATCATGGAAGTAGTTGCCGATCAGCAAATCATGGAGGACAGAGTAGATGCTCATCAAATACTTATTGACTAATTAGTTCCGCTCACTCAGGCAGTTTTAATCCATCCTCGGTTGGTAACCCGAACCAGAGGATGTAATAAAAATCACCTTCATAAACAAAAAAACTGACTGCCCCAGGGCCAGGGGTACTAGGACACCTTCAGTCAGCTGGACTATCCACCAATTCTTTCACTCTAGCCCTGTCCACAACAAGATTAGTCCACAAAAATGACACGGCACTTCCCAGGTTTGAAGAATAAAAAGAGATTTTCAAATTCAATTTTCTCAACCTCTGAATTTCTATCTGAGTTTTGGGAGAATTTTCCTACTCCAGAAAACCAACCCTTTTAAATACCTGAAGTTTATAATTTGACAGTAACATTTCTTTTTAGTTTTATTCCATTACTTTTGAATTGTAAGTGGTTCTAACAATAAGAAATCATATTTTTATCATCTATATGACATATTTTTCTTAGAATCTGTGTATATAAGTGAACTTCAAAGAAAAGAATTCCAATAACTTGACATGCAATTTGAATGACTATACCCTTAAAATACTTCAAGGGTAGACCTTGTCCAAATGTGAATTAAAATAAACCCATATAATCACACTCAGAATTTTATTAAATTCAGAGTTTGGGGGCAGATAAACACACACAAGTTTAGCTCTACAGAATTTAGCATTTCTCATAGCACATTTTCACAGATAGTTTTACTTCATTTAGTTTTTATAGGGAGAAATGCTTTGTACCTAGTAGGCATTTAGTGAATAGGTATTTTGTTAAAATTCCAATTTTATAGAAAAAGAAACAGCACAAATACTTATAAGTTGATGATTTGTGATATAAGATCTTTATACACAGCAAGATAATTTTAGTAGAACAGAGAAAAATTAAAGTGGATAAAGCAAGTATATTTAAGGAGATTGTATGAACACTGCAAAAATTTTTTAAAAAGTATATTCTAGATCTTTTCCTTCCAGGTTCCTTATTAACGTTAAATAGTCATTCTGAGTTACAGTGATAGCTCCATCATTTTCTGGTAACGGGAAAAGTAAGAGAATAGCAACCGAATGAGTTGTGTGTGGTTATGAGAAAATTCCTTTCTCTACTCTAGTTGAATTGTTAAGGTTTATAACGATATTAACAGAGGAATGTTTTGTTAACTATTGCAAACAGATGTGCACATTTTGGTGGAACATTTTTAGACCATGGGAGAGCAATTAGGAGGGTGGCATTTAATATACTGTATTCCTCATGTCAGTTTTGGTTTGATCAATTTCTAATTAAGTGAAATAGGAAAGATGTATCATTGGTACTTAAGGTAAAAATAGAAACAGTTTAAGAAGTGGTTTAAGGACTGATTGGTCCCACGATTTGGACTCAGAGGTAATGCAGCAGATGAAGATTGTTTTCCAGTATAGTACATTATTCAAACTTTATAGGAATGGCCAGAAAATTGTTGTGGAACATTTTGTGAGTTAACATTTCATTTCGTCAATCATCAAATGATCTGTTTAAGTTTTTTATGAAAACTGCGACATGAGATTGGATGGGTGGGTGTAGGATTCCTACTCCTTTGATCCATTTTGCCTCTTTTGGTTCAAAAATATATTTGAACCTGCTGAAAAGCAAAACGCTTACGTGTTGTTCAACTACTTATAAATATTCCTGAAACAGGTCAATGAAAATTTGGGGCTGGCCCTTCCCACTTTGTTGAGTTACTCATCATAAAACAAATTATGGGGTAGAGAAACTTAAAAGTTTATGAGGTGGACATGGTAAGAATGGAAATATTTTAAGCACACCAAAAGAAATACCCATAAATATTCTAAGTCACATTATTCCCAGAAGTTCTGCCCCTGGAAGACATCACATCATTCTGCTAGCCAATCACTATTCGGCAACATTATTCTTGGAGTTATAACTTTAGGAATGGTGTCAGAAACCAAGTGGGAATCAGAGTATTTAAGGTCAGCGGTTAGAAAATCATCTATCCTGCTCATAGCACTACTAAGCGCCAGTACCCACATTTCTCTGAACGCTTTCCTACATTTCAAGTTTGGGATTTTGAGACTAAAAAAATCAACTCAATTGAATGCAGACCTTGAACTTCACTCAGACGAATATGCCTAGTAGATTAAAATCCTAATTGCCAGTATTGAAAATTGAGTCGATTGCTCTTACATGTTAGCTAATACCCTGGAAACCTGTTCCTTGGAGAGTTTTTTGTTTTGTTTTTCTTTGGGGGATTTTTTTTTTCTTTTTTTGGCTACCAATGGAAAGAAAAATACAAAATGTTTTGAATTATAATACCTCATGAGGGAAGACCAACAAAAACATTAGTGTAGCACTTTCAAAATAACCAGGTAAATATTTTGTAATATTTTTAAGATTCCATTTAGAATAACGTGAAAAAAAAAGTTTCCATAGGGAAAACTCCGAAATTTGTACAAAAAGTATATGTGCACATAGGCTGAATTATTTTCTCCCTAGATAGAATAATAGCAGAAAATCTATGTACTATGAGAAAATTGATTTTTGCTAACAAGTAGTGGATTAAAGTCCAAGTTGAATAGCTCTTTTTTAAAAAATAAAATCAGAAAGGAAATAAAAGTTTAATACTAACAGTTACAGAGGAAACTATTGCTATCTAATTTTAAAATAAAACTAAATAGTTGAGATAAAATAAAACTAAATAGTTGCATAATGTTACTTGTAAAAATGCATTTTAAAATGATTTAGGGCTTTTCATAAATTCAGAGACTGCTTTATTTGAGAAAACTAATCATAACATGAGCTCCTACATTTTGGTTTCCCAGTTAAAATTTTTAAATCACTACCAGATTATTTAAAGAAAGGCTAAAGAAGATATAAGTTTTATGTTGATAATAAACTTTCATTTAATTGTTTTCTTGTTTTATAATACATGTCTATTTTATATAACTTGATAGCTTTCTTTAGTTTAACTCTAGAGTTTAAAAGAACGTATGTTATTTACATTTACCATCTTTTATATTACTATGTTAGAAATTATAAATATTTCTTCATTGGATAATATTTAAATTGAAGCAACATTTTTTAAAAATTTTAAGGGAAAGAATATTACATAACTACATATTAGACAAGAGTTATTTAAGTGAGGTAAAATAATTTTTAATTTTTTAAACAAAAATATGGAAAGTTTATATAACTACTGATTTCTTTATTTATTACTTTGCTATTTTGAAATTAATATTAAAATTGTTTGAAATTTTAAATTTGAATGTTTAAATTTACTGTTTGCATTTTTTGTATTTTAAACCAAGGCAGTTAACTAAATTGGCTAGAACTCACAACCATTTTGAATGAGTCCCAGTATTTACTTGCCAAAAATGTAAAACAAATGCAACATATATTTTAAATATTCCTAAGAGATACTGCAACTTTCTTTAATTTACTTCAGGAGAATGTGGTAGATTGCAATGGCTACTCTGGGACCTTTATAGGTTATTGCTTATTTACAATAATATACAAGATGTGTGGATAGTCCTGTCTTAAAAAGTTTATTATGATGTAGAAAATACATACTCATAAAAAAGTTACAAACAGAAAAGTCACTATGAATTGCCAACTAATTCAACTATGTTGTAGAACTCAAACTTTATTGAATCAATATTCGATAATATAATTATACCTAAGTTAAATTAAGCAACACATACATTTTAAGAAAACAAAGTAAAAAATAAGAAATTATAAAAGAAGTTAATTAGGTGATTGTTCTTCAAATTTCCCTACTGTCAATCTACTTTGAATATAGCTATATTTTAAAATAGCCAAACATTTAATATAACTATAACTTCCTAATACTTATCTGAATTTTATGATTTTTAAAAAATAAACCTGAATATCTTTAAAATGAAATATCCATTTTATTTAAAAAATAAAACCTTGCTTTGCAAAAAATATAATAGTAGATGTTTACTTCCCAAGAATGTTTATTCAAGAAATTAAGAACACTACTGACAGCATGTTTCAGAACCACAGGACAGAAAAATAGTGGATTTACAGACACATACTCAAAATTCAAATATGGATAAATAATATTTGATTCAGTACCATTAGAAAGGCAGATACCATAAGTCTTATTCTGGCTTTGCCATTAACTTCCTAAGGGGGTGGAGCCAGTAATACAACACGTACATGTACAATGGTTATTTCATAATTAATGTTTCAGGGTGCAATATATACTAATACATTGTATTACAAGATTCAACTCACATTAGATGTAGAACCTAATAGAATCAATGTGGTCAGTACACACTCATTAAGGAATATGAGTGCCTGTGGATATATATATATATATATGTGTGTATATTTAAATGTGTGTGTTTGTGTGCTGTCAGTGCTCAGTGTTTAAATCATTTAGATGGATTCATCCAGAAGTGTAATCCTAGTGTTATTTACATAAAAACATTGGATTTGTATTTCATTTTCTTATACATACCTGCCTCCCAGCTTCACTGTTATGTAGGTTCATTGTTAGCAGTACTTTGCTTTCTTTTCCAGTGGTGTTTCTGATGGGAAAGTCCAGGAACTTTCTGCTGAACCACATGCCATACTGAACATCATCAGAACAGCCTCCCCAGTGCCAGCCTTCACTTGCTGAGCCACCATTCTGCAGGGTGGTATCACAGGAACATTCTGTCATGTTGCCTGCACTGCATGACCTGGTCACAGAGTGCACCAGGCCTGCCGCCATCACAGCATAAATAAATGCTGTCTCCTTAGTGCCTAGAATAAAACATAAATTGCCTAATTAGAAAGCCATGTCACTTTTTGTTTATGTTCGAAACAAAGGCTCCCACTCATCCTCTTACCAGGCAAGTAATTTTTCAATAGCTTATAAAGGATGCTTACTGTGTACGGATTTAGAAAGGAATATTTACATTGTTTCAGCCTTTAAAACAGCAACATTAATTTTCAGTATCCCACTTGAGGGGACTTTCATACATTGTAATGCCACACATTATCTTCATACCTTAAAATCATATTTAAGCTTAGTGTCCAATAACAGCTCAATAACACAGGTCAAATTTAAATTCCTTTGCATGGATTCTATGAATCTAAAATACTCACAGGAAATCAGAGAAGGAAAGGAAAACATATTTTTAAATTTAAAATATGCTGCATTCACAAAACACATGCTGAAAAAATGTAATATGATTTTTGTTTGAGTAAATAATATTCTTCAGAATGCAAATTAAAATTAAGCCAAGATCAAGATGATTAATAGATAAATGTTACAGTTTACTTTCATACTAAAAACTAGACTTTAAAAAATCCCTGATAGTAATAAAAAAACAGTTAACATTTTACATAGTACAACTGTTACAGTTATAAAGGTAATGAAAAGTAAGATAATTGAAATGTCACTAGCAAAAAAAAAAAAAAAATCTTACCAAAAAAGTATCCTATAATGAAATAGTTGTATTTAGCACTCCTGAAGTAGAGTTTGAACTAAAATCTTTGAAAATTGAAGTTCTATTAAAACATTAATAAGGTGAACTAGAAGGGACTCAGCAGGGCGACATTTTTTTTTCCCTTCCAGATGTTTAGATTGGAATAGAAACAGTTTCACGCCCGTTGTCCAAGAAACCTTTTCAACAGCTAAAGCTTCTGCATTTCAGCAACTGTGAAAAACACTTTTTGTTTTTCTTTTTCCTTTTCTTTCTTCTTCTTCTCTCCCCCAACTCCCACCTACGGGGATCTGGGCTCCCTCGGAAGGGTGCGCGAGCTAAAACTTTAAGGCAGAAAAGCGTTGCTTTGGCAGCAGAGTGTGTGTGGACCCTGCGGGAAAGGGTCAAAGGTGGGGAGAGAAGGGAAATGAACCCGAAAAACGACAATGCATCTTTCAGCGACCCAATCCTAAAATTCTTTGAATCTATTAATATTCCAGGAACAATCCTGGCTCCCTGCACCTTTATCCTTACCAAGACCCTACACACGTGGAAAGAGAACTTAACTTTATTGCAGCTTCCCCTGTCGCGGGAGTGCGCTGAGGAAGGGAGAGCGAGAAGGAAAGGAAAACAGGGGAGACAGCTAAAGTAGTGGTGCTCAGGTTAGCTGCGCTTCGGGTGGTCGGGGACAGGCCCTTTAAAAATCCCCCTCCTGCGGTCCACCCGGTGCTCGGAGGAGTCAACAAACGTGGGGCTTCGCTTGGGTTAGCCACTTGTCCAGGGCTCGGTGAGCTGCGGAGCCGGTTAAATCAAAGCAGATGCGGCTGCAGCATTCCCCGCGGCCGACATCATGTTTCTCCAGCTGGTCACTCAAGTAGGGGGGCGCTTCGGGGTCCGAGGGGGTCGGCGGGGTAGGAGAGTCAAGAGTTTTTCTGCAACTCGAGCGTAGCGCCGCGGGAAGGAGGAAAAGCCACTGCCCCTAGCGCCCGGGCTCTATACCTGGGAAGTCCCCCCTCCTCCAGTACCGCACCTGCACCCGGAGTCTGGCCTCTGTCGCTCCCGGTTCCCTGCACTAAAAACCTTTTTTCAAGATTTAGAGAGCCACGAGACCACTCTAACATTATTTGCTTTATTTGAAGTAAATGACAGAGGAGTTGTCGCCTTGTGTTCCCTGCCATTCCCAAAGGTCCTGGACTCACCGCTGGTCAATTCGTAGCCAAAGAGCGGGCTCGTGCCGAGCGGGGCAGCGGCGGCGGCATTGGCGGTGGCGACCATGCAGTTCCATCTCTCGTGTTTGAACTGGCTCCTGCACTCCTGAATGCCCAGCCGGGCGCCCTCGCGGATGCTGGGCAGCAGGTAGGGTTTCCTCTTGCACAGCTCCTTCTGGCGGCTGTTCAGTGGCAAGTTGGCGCAGCCCAGCTTCTCCGGAACCCCAAAGGAGGCGATGCCCAACCACCTGTAAGACACGGCCGCCCCTAGCGTAAGCCGCTCCCCTGCCCTCCTCCCCAATCCCAGATGTTTTCCCAAAAATTAGGTCACCCGCTCTAGGGTCTCCGCCCCTCCTCTCCTGGCCTCAGTTGAATGTTCTAGGGGGTGGGCACCTTTTTTAACCACATAACCCGGGTACCTCTGCTGCCCCCATACTCACATCCAGTTTCCTTGGATTCCGCAGGGGAACAGCGCAAACAGAACTGCCCACAGTGCGCACAGGCGGGGCAGCGCCAGGAGTGTCGCTCTGTCCATGGCCCCCGCATGGAGTCTCCCAGCCCCGACCACTCCTCTTCTGCCCCACTTCTCCAGAGATTCGAAGGGCCGGAGGTCAGTTCCTCAGCACCACGTTGTTCGTCGTCCTCTTCCTCCTTGCAGAGAGCATAAAAAGGCAGCCAACAATGATAGGGATCTCACAAGCCCCAAGGCCCCTTGCAGTATGAGAAGGTGGAAGAAGTTCTTTGGGGCCCTCCTGCTCAGAGTTGGAGATGTGCTGGAGATGCGAGAAAGTCCCTCACATTCCAAGGTGTGAAACTTATGTTGATGTCTCTGCGTCTCCATCGCCCCCGGCTTCTCTTCTCATCCCCTCCCCCTGACCGCGCCTGGCTCCTGATTGGCCCAGTAGCGGTCCCGCATCTCATCATCCTGAAACCTCAGGATCCTATTGGCTGACTGCGGGTTCGGCGGGGGGCGCTCTGGACCCGCGGCTCCCGGAGAGTCTGTCCAGACTAGGGGGTGTCATAACCTTTCCTCTGGTTCCAGCTTCCAAATCGCTTCGGGATTGATTCAACCCAAAGACTGACAGGGCTCTTTTGTCTTGGCAACCCAGGATATATTGTGGGTTTGATGGGAGACGTTTTGCCTTCCACCCACCTAAGGGCTTCTGGATTACCCTCTGGATTGAGTGGCTGGAAAATCTCTCTGCCTCTTTTTCTTTCCTTGCTTTTCCTTCAATTCCCAGAAGAACAGTCTTTTTAAGTCAGAGTTGGTACCAAACAAATTGACGGTCCAATCCCCTATTTCAGGTCTTAAATGCCATGGGACTTTAGTGGATGGGTAAGATACCATCTGGTTTATGCTCTTCCGCCATTTATGTATACTTTTATTTTTAACGAAAGGGAGGATTCTATTCTACCACATTTAAATTGTACTGTGATTTCTTTTTTTCTATTTGTCTTGTTTCCTGCACTATCTGTCCCAAGTGAAAATGAAGGGAAGAGAAGTAAGTGATAGTTGTCTGGAGAACTCTAGAACAGATAAGGGCATGTTCTTATCCTTCTCTTCAGACTCACATTGGCTCTTGTGAAAACCTTGGACTGGGCTACACACCCAAAACAACAACAGCAAAAACCTACTATGTTCCAGTCCTGTGGGAATTTATAAGGCAAGATTCCTTCTCTCGGGAATATGAGCCAGTCATTTAGAGAAATCTTAAACAAAATAATTTGAGATTATCAGAAATGAAGAATATAGAAGTTAGCAGGATACTCTTTGGGGCCAAAGGTACAGGCAGCTGAATGTTTTGGCAGCTGGTAGTTTTGGATGGTTAGTTAACCCAGTGTTTTGTAGAAAGAAAAGTCTGTGGGACAACTCTGAAGACCAGAGGAATATGCTTAGCTGTGGTGCCAGAAAGCTCTGTATCACTTACTCAGACACAAGAAATGCTTCTGAGATGTATCACTTGCTCCCCAGAGATTTCTGAAAGGCTATCAAATACTCAAGGTGGACATATCAGCTCAGTGGATACCCCAAAGGAGACTCACATTAAAGGCTTTGATAATGTTTGCTGCTTGTTCTCAGTATCCAATAGGGTATAGCAACAAGAGCCATTGAAATTTCCATTCTGTCCCATTCACTCCTTTATCCAACAAACATTTATTGAGTATACAGCATGTACCAGGTCCTAAAGCCACATTGTAATTTTTTGAGAGTCAAGTTGATGATAGATTATAGCTACTGATCCAGAAATATTTTGGCTAATGACTAGTGGCTTCTCTGAAAATCAGAACCTCCTTCCAGCTCTCTTTATTCTGTGAGCTTCCTCAAAAGAGACCATGTCATTGGACCCAATACCTGACATCCTGGTTTAAGTACAATATATTGAGTGAATTAGCATGATGAGGAACATCTTGAGTAGATACCTAAGTGGCCTAAATGCTGGAACTAGAGAAGTTTCTTCCTTACAAAGATAATTGGAGGGGGTGCCATTTCTGCATTTCAGGAAGGGTGTAAAGAACATCAATTCCATTCTGTGTGTGATTTCAGGGCCAGTACTGTTAAATGTTTTAAAGAGGTTGTTTATTTATTTTTTTCCATTCAAAAATACATAATGAGAGGATGAGGATGTAGCTCAGTGGTAAAGCACTTGACTAGCAGTCATGAGGCCCTGAGTTCAATCCTCAGCACTGCAAAAAGAATTTTCCATAATGGGTTACAATACAATGCAATAAATGTTGGAAGTATAACAATATAGATTATTTAATCCAATCTTGGCCAGAGGAATAGCCACTTGCATGTTTTCTTCCTTGTTATTCTAGGGGCCCAGCCCTGTCCATCCATCTCGATAAAGCCTTTGGAGGAACAAAGTATACTTTTCTTAGAATCTAAGCCCACTGGATCAAACATTTTCAAATCCAAGGCACATTTTCAGGGCCTTAGTGGTCCTGTACTCTCTTTTGTATGGTCTAGGGCCTTAGGGGTCATTGTGTTCATACTTCTAAAGCAAAGGAAACAAATTCCTAGGACTTGACCTAGCTGAATAAGTAGGGTTTTGTTCAATGAACGGACATTTGAGTTCTCACTTGGGGCCAGACACTGTAAATTCTCATGACTGAGAGCCTGCCATCCTCTCAGATTCTCTCTTGCATTTATTCTCTCCCCACCACTTACCTCTCTATCCTTCTCCTTCCTTCTCCAATGTTCCAACCTTTCCCCCCAACAGCTGATGCTGATTTTATAGATGAGGAATGCAATTTGAGAAGATTAAGAAGTTTGACCAAGCTCACTCAGTTAGAAAGTAGTAGAATCAAAAATCGTATTTCAGAGGCCCTGTTCTCTCCACCATAACATACTGCTACATAACCTAATTCAAAACCACAATTAATAATTTAGGATCCAAACTTCTCATTGTGTTCCATAGTTCCTTACATCATAGTCCATAGTTATCTCTGTTGAAAGAGTCTTATTTTTCTAAAGATAAACAAAATCCATAATAAGTAAGTACCCTGAGGAGTTCTCTATGAAGTGGGTCCTTGAGGGTAGGTAGCAGTCTGCATGAATGCCTTTCCATTTTCCTTGTCTCTACTGTCTGTGGGTTTTGTAGGCTGAGAGGAGCCATGGAAAGAGCACAGGGGTGGGTTGGGTGACTGCAGCTCTGGTCAACAAGTGATGGATTATCTTGGGTAACTTATTTCTACTTCATGTCTTGGTTTTCTCATCTGTAGAATTATCAAAACTCTCTTTCAGTTATGAATCTCTTTAGAGTACTCATAGGACTCGGGTGGAGAAGGTGGTATGTGTGGTTACATATGGTTCCAAGTGCAGGGGCAAAGGGAAAAATGCATTGCCAGGGGATTCCAGGAGGACAAAACCCTAGCCACTGTTGGGCTTGTCTGCCTGAGAGATGGGCGTGTCCCCAGGGGAGCACAGGCTTCAGGGTTTTGGCCCCCCATCTGTGTCTTCAGCTCCATGTTTGCTTTGGGATTTCAATGAAAGTGAGTTATTTTAATTGCAGAACTATTTTTAAAGGGCCAAATTATAATGTTATAATCTTATCAGATCATATGATAGAAAACAAAAGACATGACAGATATTTTATTTATCCTGGAATATGAAAGTGAGGAGCTCTTCCATAATCTAATTTATATCTATTTAAGCAAAGTAGTTCATCTCAGCAGTGAGCATTATGCTATTTAGACTGGAGCAGTAAAGTAAAAGGTAGGTTAAATATAAACATACACAAATCTCCAGATTTCAAATTGCTTATTTCTTTAGCCACAAGTAGGAGCTTCATTTCCTATTTAATGTTTTTGGTTTTATAATTTGGAGGAAGAACAATTTTAACTGAATAATAGAATGTGATCTGATATTTGACTATGCTAGGCAAGCTTTCTAAGTTTGAGATGCCAATCTATATTCAAAAAAAAAATTTAAAGACTTTGCCATTAGTTGTTCAAGAAGGGAGTTAATTTTATGTCATCTCATGATCTGAATTCAGCTACCCAAAATTTGATTAATGCTATTAAGAATAGCACCATGTAACTCCAGGTTTATATGGATTACTGAAGCATCTCTAATTTCTTGATCCCACAAGGAGGAAATATTCTTAAACTTATTTTCCTAGCAGGAGGAAGGTGTTTTGAGTTATCCTCTGGAAAGAGGATTTAAGAAAGGAAGAGCCAGATTTCAAGCATATTCATTTCACACAAAGAAGCTCTCTGGAGAGACTATGAATCTGTGACTGTGGTCATCTCTGACCAGCTGAGGTAACTGAACCAGATAAGTAGCTGGCTGGCAATAAATCCCAGCTCCTACCAAAGATGGTTGTAGATTACTAGTTGTAGGAGCCAGGGAGCCTGTTTCTTCTGGGAGTTTTCTCTCAGCCCCTGGGAAACTCAGCAAAAAGTCTTCCTGGGCAGATATGCCTTGGACTGTGCCTCTGGCAACCCATCAGAGGACAAGACTTCTAAGGGCCCTGTTGTAAGAATTTCTGCTGCAGATCACAGAGACTTATGTGCTGGAAACTGATACCAGCAGCACCCCAGCTGGTCTTAACTCCCATGATAGAACAGAAGACCAGAGGTGACTTTTTACATAACTGGGTCTCCATCCATTCTATTTTAAATTCCACCTGGATGCTGCAAGTATGAAACAGAGCACAGGCTTGTGATCACCGGCTCTCAGGGGAGAGTGAGGTGGAGAACAACATTCTGGATTCCATGCAGTTCTTTAGTAGCCCCAAAAGCCCAGAAGAATGACAGGCTTGGGGGAGCAGTGGATACAACAGCTATAGAAGTTCCCAAAGC